GCCCTCCACCTCCCTGAGCGGTGTGTTGGCGAGGAGACCGGCGCTGAGAGACTGGTGGATCTGACTTCATCAATGCATATTCCTGAACAAGATGCTTCCATAGTTAGTCAACTCAGCCTGAAGATAAAATTATGTTCTGATCACGGTTTGAGGGTTTCCGATGCATACCTGTGGAGGCAGATTGAATGCATTATATGGCACGACTGGCAGTTGATGAGAGTAGCTGACTACAATTGCATTTGAGAAGATTTTATACATCCTCTCCTTCATGATTTTGAAATCCAGGGAGTCTGGTTCTTCACGGTTGGGATCATGTTTGCCGTCGAACTCGAATGCTGTGCGGGATCTTTCCTTGATTGGCGCCAGTCGGCATTTAATGAAGTGCCGAGTGATCTGCTCTCCCTGTAAGCCTTGTTCTTTAAGATTTAACATACGATCCAACAACTCCAAGGCTTGTACTGCTTCATCTCCGATCGGAAGAGAATTCCAAGTATCTTGGTACACTGGAGGAAGACAAGAGTACCCGGGAAGAGCAGGCTCGGGATTCTGAACATAGAACCAGTTTGCATGCCATCCTTTGTTCGAAGTCTTGAAGGGCATCGAGAAATATTTTTGGCTCAGAGTTCCCCTTAGTTGGAATCCTGCCCCCCCGACTACACACGGTTTGTTCTTGTTTGGTTGGGGCTTGAGGAAGAAGATCCGGCGGAATAGGGCAAAGTGAGGTTTGATCCCCAAAAAGGCTTCACAAGCATGGACGAAATTGGCGATATGCACTATGGAATTCGGGTTTAGGTGATGCAAGCTGATTCCATAGAAATTCAAGATCCCGCGGAAGAATTTTGAGGTCGGAAGAGCAAAGCCGCCGTAGAAGAAATGCGAGAAGACCACAATCTCATGAGTATCCGGAGACGGGAAAGCCTCACCGTGCGCTGGTCGCCACCCGATGATCTCCTTGGCAGGGAGAACGCCGTGCGCCACCATCTCCTTCAAGTTCTCTTCCGTTACGTCGGATGGCGCCCATTGACCTTCGAAGCTTTCTCTCTCTTCCGCCATTGGTTTCACTCAAATGTGTTGATTTGATTTGAGGGATGGCTTGGGAGAGGTGAGGGATTGAGGCGGTGGATCACGGGAGGGATTTTGATGCACTTTTCGGAGGTGGATTTGGCCGGAGTTGAGAACCCTAGTTCGCCGGCGCAGCTTTACACTGTAGCAGGGAGTGGGGAAAATGGCGAGAGTTCCGGCGGGGAAGACGAAGCGTCGCTTGGATATCGGATTTTTTCAGTTAAGGGTATCGGAGGTGCTAATGGGCCTAGGCCTGAACAGTACTTCAGCCCAATACTTTTAACAGCGTGGCCCATTGTGTTCCTTAGGGACTTAGGCATATTTTGCTTTGGCAATATTATGCGCACAACAGTGTTGCCCAATGCTGATAAAAATCCTTTTTATGCGGTCATATAATTCTTTGGAATTATTGCAATGCAAATTAAAAGGTGCCCGACAGAAAGGTGTTATACTGCTTTTTGTTAGCTTTATTAGGCTACAAAAGCTGTCTGGGTTAATTTGGGATGACTTGTTTTTATCATAGTCACTTCCTTGGTATGTTATATACCTATTTTTGTTATGGTAAATAGTCATAGCCTAGGCTATTTAGACTTATTCATTACCATAATTTTTATAATACTTGGTGGGTAATCTTTAGAGTTTTATATTCGGATGCCTGTCCAGTGTGTTCATTCGTGAACCTTTTAGAGTGTAAACCACTCGGATTTCTTTTATTGTGGATAAAAAGCAGTCGGCTAGCATGCCTATTTAGGCGCCGCGTACGCTTTTGTCATATAATGCACAATAGTGTTGTTATTTTGTCTTTCAACTATATGTTTAGTTTGTTAACTAATCACATAGTTGGGGGCTACACCTAATTAGGTGCATCTATTCGATGCACCATACTCTTTATCTTTTCGCCCTTTACAGTCCACTCGGCAGGTTTTGGCTTGAAGAGTTTGAAGTACTCGGATTATCATCTTTGAGAGGGCTACGATGGTCGACTGCAAAGGACTCGGGGGCTACTGTGGAGATTATGGGTATCCCATATCTACACGGCGATGGTATTCGAACTGGGTACAGGATACCTAATGTAGATAGAATATCTTATCTGTATCTCGGGTTTGTTTCTTAACTTGTGTATCAAGGAAACACCCTGAGACTTAGTCGGTTACGACTGTATTTTACCTGTATCTTCATATTCCGTTAGGAATATAGATTATCTTTTGTAACCCGGACTCCTTCCCATATATAAGGGGGGTCCGGGCGCCTCTAGGGGCATATGCTGATTTCTCCTGAATCATACAATCAATAATACACTCGGCGGATTCATCCCCGGACAGGAGTAGGGTATTACTTCTTTTATAAGAAGGCCTGAACCTGTATAAATCCTTTGTCTCCAAACCCATACACTTTCCTAGCTTGATAGCCACCCCCTTTTATTATTGCCGAAATCTAGTTTCGACACATAATCAAAGTGCAACCACAAGGTGGAATGGGACACCCTGGCTAAGAAGCTAGTCGGTTCAGGGAAACCTCGCATGCCAATAGTTGGGAACGCCGGGGCGGGGTCGGTTGGAGCCAAACCGGGTTCCTGGTAATGCAAGAACGAGAAGCTTGCTGAATTACCGATCGAGGTGGTTGGAGTTTGATTTGTGAACGCCTAAAATGGCCTATGTTTATGTGAGGATTTGATCCTTCTATGTGGCATGAGATAACCCTGGGTCGGCTTGGGAAAGGCTTTGTTGCGAACCTCCGATACCGACGGGTGTTCGGAATAAGTTCGTATCTTGTGGGTAAAGTGTACCCCTCTGCAGAGGTTAACTAACTGTTCGAACAGCCGTGCCCACGGTCATGGGCGGATGTGAGGTGGTTCCCGTTGCGTAGATTTGTTTGCCTGTGCTTTGTGAAAAGTTGTTGTGGTGTGGGAATCGTAACCAGAATCAGCCTATGTGGCAGATGGATGACCTGAGTGGTCAGAAACGAATCTGTGTGATTCGGGATGTCTGTGGGCATCATAGACTAGGTTTCCCGAGTGGAAGCGGATTGCTTTGCTGCTGGGCAGCTGGACTCTGGGAGTCCGAGAAAATGAAAAAGGCTCTGGGAGCCGATTAATCAAGTGGAATGGCTCTGGGAGCCGAAAAGTAATGATCTGACCCGGGAGGTCGGTACATTACTAAATGAGCTGTTGAAAAACATCTCTTAAAGTCGAATCGAGACGCAAGTCTCTTTTCGGCCCAAACTTAGAAAGAAGTAAATCACCTAGTGATTTCAAAAAGTCTTCAAATAAAAGATTTGCAAAACAACCTTGCCTCTCTTCCAAGCTTGCATTAAACACCTAAGTTCCCGTGACTTGCTGAGTACGAAAGTACTCACTCTTGCTCTAAATAAATATATATATATAGTTCCTCCGCCCTGAAGAAAAGATAAAGTGAAGTGAAGATTAGGGTTTCGTCCTGGTTCCCAGCCATCGCCTGTGGTGTTGGGTGTTAGACCGTTGGTTCCGCTGCTGCTGCCGTTGTTGGTGTTCGCCTCGTCCGTGTCGTCGGTTGTATTCTCGGGCTGTCTGAGCTGCAACCTAAGTTAAGGTAAATAAGTCCTCTATTTATTTTAAGGATTGCTATGATTCATATTTGTCACCGTGGGTACCAGCACTATGTCCTGGGACTGGTACCGAGATCGCGGTTTCGTAGGAAGCGGTTCGCGCCGTTTTCCCTACGACACGCTCCTGTCAGGTGCCGTTGTATGGCGGTATCAGATTGGGGTGTGACAGTGTTGTTCCTCCTTTTAAGCAAATCCCAAAACCGAGTGCAATGGGTGCCCCTGAAGATTACTTTCATAGGTGAATGAACATTTGTTTCTCAAAAACTACGTCATTACAACTTATCTATATTGCTCAACACATAGCACTTGCTCCAACCAAAATAAGATTATAGCCTTTTTGAAACACCTTGCAACTATATTCCAATATTATTAAAACTAATAGGTGGTGGTAATATTGAGTTGCATGCACCAATCAGTTCAACCCAAAAGCTTAAGCTAATGAGAAAAGGTGGACAATTCATTTTATATTCCAACACCCCTCCCCCCCCCCCACGCGAGGCCCCCTCAAGGCTCTAGCGTGGAACAGAAGTGGGCTGTAATTTCTATTTAATTGCACACTAGCTAGGATTCGAACTCAAGATCTCTGGCTCTAATACCATATTGAGTTGCGTGCACCGCCCAGTTCAAAACAAAAGCTTAAGTTGATCAGAAAAGGTGGGCAATTCACTTTATATTCCAATAGGTAGGCCAAAAGCTACTTGAATCACGTGCCATATGAACTTTGCAAAATGACAATCTAAAAAAATATGTTGTATTGTTAACATCTATGTGAATGTGGGCAATGCTAGAAAGTCTTACATTGTGAAACGGATGTAGTAATATTTTTTTATTTAATTGCACATATTTTAAATGTCATGTCTGTGGGATCATAGGGCGTATTATTGATCTTACTAAGTAGACAGTTTTGTGTTTCTTTAAAAAAAAAAAAGTAGGCATTCTGGTTTGATACACTACGATGTCACCGTGAACCTTTTGCTTTTTAAACGTGCTATACTAATAAAAGATGAACATACCAAAATGGGAATTGAAAGTTTTATTGGAATAGTTTATTTGGAAATTTGAAATGCTCAGTAATAAAGAAAAGGTGATACTATCCTATACTTGTGACACTTTTTATAACTGTGTGGCGCATGCCAATTAATATATGGTTGGTATTATCACTAAAGTTATACCGTGAAGATTGCTTACTGAAATTAACTACAATGTGTTACGTGTCAGAAACTTGTCACATTACAGAATTAGTAACTGGGCTGAGTTCCATATATGCACAATAGTCAGTAGATATATTAGATTAGTGAATTGTCACTAGTGATCCAAAGTCAAAGCAACATTACAAATTGCTTGGAATTTTTCAGCTGATGGTTCAATCTCTTCATCAGATCCTCCCGTTGTTCCAGAATCAAAAAAGAAGAGGACAAAAACATGTAAGGAATGATTCATCCCAACCCTTCGTGCTTCGCTGCTTTGATATCATACAGCTCAAATTATAATTTATGGTTATATTGTTAAATAATTTTGAACTGTAGGACACAAAACTTCTTTATTTGTGTGTTATACAAAACTTTTTGCATGTGTATGTAAAGTTTATTTTGTCATCCTTAAATGTAAGAAGTTTTTTGGACATATTAAATGCCGCTCAATAAACGAGGAATGGTTGGTGGTGGGAGAAAGGTTGGGATAAGATGAGCAAAAATTTAAATATGTAGTGGTTGATAGTACAGGTAGTATTGTAAGAGTTGTTACATATATTTCTAAACAAAATTCAAATAACCAGAATGTTTATATTTGTTGATGAAGAGAGTACCATTCAAGTAGTTACAATTCATATATCCTGATTCTGTCAAATATTTATATTTTTCTTCATGGTGGTATAGACTTTCACCAACACACACTGGCCCATCCATCTCAAGTTCATACACGGCTTCTGCAGAATGCATGAATTTTACAATATTTAGATAGGATCTACTTAATGCAAAAACTACAATTATTTATATATTTTAAGTTTAAATATACTGTAAGTTTTATTATACCCTTTATGAAATATTTTGCAAGAGATACACTAATAATGAAAATTTCCACACCCTTGCTTTTCTAATTTACATTGTGGACAAGGATGCAAAGAAATTACGACACCTTCTGTCTACTACCTGAAACTCTCAGTCAGTCCGAAATTAAACAGCATAATAGATTTTGCAAAGTACCTTTGGATATTATGGATCGTCCATGTGATCAAATTCCAATGAATAAGATTTATTTATACTATGCATGGTACTATGAAAAGTTAAAATTGTGGAGAGGTAGATTTGGAAATAAAAGGGACAGAAAGGTAAATTTGCCATGGTATCTGTTAAGTGTTCATTAATTAGGAGATATTGATTGATAAACGTACCTCTTGGTGTTGATTGGTTACAACTACATAAGAGGACTCTTAATACCAACATTGTAAACATGCCATATGTTATGTTCTTATGCCTTGAAGCTCCAATTCCTTTTCAGACATAATAGCTTCTACGTCAAGTCTTCTGGGGATAAGCATATTGGTTCTTGCGGTCTTCCAAGTTTATAAGAAACACATGCATTTGTCCCCTTGGCAATGGAGATCAACAAATTCACCAAGAATTGAGTCCCTCCTACGGACACAAATAAAAAGTTACACTTACTCTGAAGTTCGAAAGATGACTAAATCTTTTGCCCACACCCTCGGAAAGGGTGGATATGGTACAGTTTATAAAGGCAGCTTGTCTGATGGCAGTGAGATAGCAGTGAAGATGCTGGAGGACACGAAGGATGATGCAGAGGACTTCATCAATGAGGTGGTCAGCATTGGCAGAACATCACACATCAATGTTGTCACTCTGTTAGGATTGTGCTTGCATAGATCAAAAAGAGCTCTCGTCTATGAGTACATGCCCAATGGTTCCCTCGATAAATACGCAGTTGGTGTAGTTGACACCGTGCAAGGAGAGAAATCCCTAAGCTGGGAGAAGTTATACGAGATTTTGGTTGGAATTGCACAAGGGCTTGATTACCTCCACCGTTGGTGTAATCATCGTGTTGTCCACCTTGACATCAAACCACAAAACATCTTGCTAGACCAAGATTTCCGTCCAAAAATATCCGATTTTGGATTAGCAAAGTTGTGTAAGCCAAAAGAGAGCAAAATCTCTATTGGTGGTGCAAGGGGAACAATTGGCTATATGGCACCCGAAGTGTTTTGGAGACACCATGGAGCCGTGACCACCAAGTCTGATGTATATAGCTATGGGATGCTAATTCTTCAAATGGTTGGAGCAAGGGAAAATACCAATGCAAGCATGCAGACCGTAAGCAAGTATTTCCCTGAATGGTTATATGACAACTTGAATCAATTTTGTGGTGCTGCTACCGAAGGCATTGATAGTAGAAACACTTGCATATCAGAGGTTGCTCGCAAGTTGGTGACAATAGGGTTTTGGTGCATCCAATGTACACCTGAAGACCGGCCTTCCATGAGTGAGGTCATTGACATGTTTGATAGAAGCATGCATGAACTGCAACTACCACCAAGAATGTCTTGCTGCGGAATTGATAATCCAAGCATTGTTTGATCACTCCATCAAGTCTTTATTTTAACATACTCAGTTTTAATATTTTAATACTTATACCATTTGGTAAGACGAGGCTTAGTAAAAATGCATGGGTTGTAGGTTCGATAAAAAAGGGTTGGAGTGGAATGAATGTTCTTTCTTGTAGTACTATTCATAAATTATTTGTGAAAAGTAAGGGTCACCAGGAGCTCAAAATAAAACAGAGCTATAGAAAACAATGTCAATGAATTGTTGTTTCTCAATTGGACTTTGGACAAAAGTGACTAACAACTCATGGAAAACCATTCATCTGGTGTATTGATGGTATCGGAAAACAAAACATCCTAGAGGGAAATTCATAGAGTTCGATAACTCCGATACAGTGATATCTATACTTTATTATAGAACAATAGCATATATAAAACAATAAGAACAACAGGGCAGAAACTCTGGGTTTGGATAATGAATTTGTTAATACGAAATAAGAAGCAACTTCTGTAGCTTGAGTTTGCAGTTTCGATTCACAGCTAATGGACTTGTAAGAGTGAAGAAGTACACGCTGAAGTGAGAACTATTTGTCTTGGCGGCAACCTTTCAGTACGTGCATACACCACCAAATAAGATAAAAGAGGATTGCTACAGATAACATTAGGGTCGGGTGCATTAGGGCACATTCTTTACTGATTGGATTGGGCCAACAGCTCAGATTAGACCGCTACAGTGAAAACAGGAAAGCCAAGTTTTGGCTGCCATGTCGCTTTGAGCACTGTTGCTACTTTAAAATGCTGGTGCTCTATGGATTCATTTATTATAGGCGACACAGATACAGTAATCCTCTACAATACTAGGGATCCTAAACCTTCTGAGTTTGTGTTGAAGGTCATTATCGACCAATTTCGACAATATTACCTAATTAATGAAAACTAGCTATGCTTGCAATGCATAATTTTCAAATAAAATATCTACTTCCACTATGTACTATGCTACTATCATGTATACAAAAGAAGCACATATAAATGGAGGAGAATTGACAGAAAATAAATGATCAATCAATCGGACATTGTCGAGATCCAAACTTATGGATAAATGGGCCAATAAACAGAATTCACGCGATCCACTAGGCCTTCTGGACTGAGGAGCCAACAGGGAGACGGCCTGCTGAAAATTGGGCCGTTTGGGCCAGCCTCTGGTTGGTTCGGCCGAACCCCCATTTGCGCCCTTGATTCCAGGTTTTGGCGTGGACGCTCCAGATGATATCCTGATGGCGGTTGCAGGGGCAGAATGGACATTCCGCATACTTATAACCGCCATAACCGCCCTATATAAGGACTTCACTCCCTCCACTTCAACAACACACTCAAGAAGAAGAGATCTCTCCCTCTCTCAAGTTTAGTAGTATCCTAGTGCTAGTGGAGTAGGAATTAGAATTGTATTATGAGTCCTCGGGTCTTCAAGAGAATTCGGGTATGGCTCTAGTAGCATTCCTCTCTTCTTTTGTAAGATTTATTGAATTAATAGAATATTCTTATTTATACATCTTCGGTATTTTATTCCATTTATATTATCTGAGTACCGACTTTACTTTATACTTGTATCAATATAGTTGTGTAGCTAGCCTATCAGAGAGGTGCAATTGTGTGGGTTTAGTGTCCGAATACTCGGTTGCTCTATGTCATCTCGGGGGATATAGAGTAGTATTTAATAATATGGACGTGGTGTCTAGATTATTAAGTATCACTACGTGGTGTCTAGATTATTAAGTATATGATGTGGGAGAGTAGAGGTGGGCTGCTGATGGTGATAGCTCAGTACAGGTATTCCTCCGCGTTAGTATATATTCCTAAGACACTTTCCTGGGGACGGTACTCCTGCGTATTTAGTTCCGGTTGGATGGCCATGATAGGTTGTCGTAAAGAACTCGACAATCCGGGGTGGTCTCTCGAAACACCAGGAGGGCACTGTTAGGGGGTATTGGGTGCATGACTATATACTAACAAGTTTAGACTAAAGATGTATGTATACTAGAAGTATAGAAATGAATTCTTTTCCTATTCTTTCTCCACTTAGCTTAGATTATATTTAGTGAGAGTATCATAGTTCTTTCTTCTGTGTGTCATCTACCCTTTGAATCACTTAACCCCTGCTTAGACCTTAATATATGCAAGTAATATATAAACTATTAGCATAGTACTTTCTTATCATATCTTACCTTAGAATTAAATAAATACGATACCTTGGAATACTCCCGGGTGAAATATAAACTATTAGCATAGTACTCTCTTATCATATCTTACCTTAGGATTAAATAAATACGATACCTTGGAATACTCCGGATGAAATGCTACAATGGTATATCCGTGTGCTTGCGGGTCATATCTGTGACCATAAATATAGCATGAATATTTCTACGTTATTGTTGGGAATTATATTTCTAGTAATTTCATTAAGAAATATCAACAATTTGCCAGTAATATATGTATTCCCAGTGCCTCCTAGACCCATAAGCAAGCATACGGAATAAAGTATTCCACAGAAAATTGCATAGGACCCAAGTCCTTCCTTCATCCGAAAGACTTCGTCTCCCTACATGACATCTGTCCAATACGAATCTCAACGCAAGCAGGCGCTCCCCTCCCAATCCCCATTCTTCATCCTTCCGTCCTTCGTGCTCAGCAGCGACAACCAACAAGGCATAGCTTGAGCCGACCAACGTGGCCACGGCGGTGAGCAGAAATCGGGCTTATGGACGGCCGCTGGGAGAGTGCGACATCAAGGGCATGCGCCATGCCTTACCGCAACGTGGGTACTCCATTCGTCATCTGGTCACAATGTGTCATCTTATTCAAGAGTTCACATAACAGTGATAATACAATCTAATTATCATTTGCAGCACCAAGCCTCTTGTTGAGAAGGGCTGTCAGCTTGTAATCGAGCAAAGCTTGTTATCGGAAAGAATCCTCAAAGGATTGGATAAATTCAATAACCACCAATGATTATCTGTAATGGAGATTGAAATTAAAGTAACAAGAGCAACATCTAACCATTCTAACATTTAACCATCTACTCCTACTTGTCTACTGGCCAAGCACGTTCCTGGTGGTAGCTCGAAGCCGGCAGCCGCTGCCATGCCTACAGTGGTAGTTCCGTCTTGCCGAGCATATTGAAGAACAGAATGGGGATTGGAGAAAAGAAAGATGCTGCATGCTTTGTAATTTGTGCTGGACAGGTGTCGTGCAGGAAGACAAAGTATTTCATGTGAGGGAAGGACCTCAGTCCTGTATAATTTTCTTCCACTAATCATGTTCCCTGGCCAGCTGGCCTATAAATCTTTGAAGAAATCGATCCTCTATGCCAATATATTATGGATTTATGGAGGCGTATGTTATGCCACTGTAGTACAGTATGAAGCGCACTTGATCCACTCCACATCTCTAGCGCAAAAATATTGACCAGTATCAACAACCACTATGTGCTACTCCTCATGTCGTGGGCAAATGTGTGGCTCTATTTGCGTGTGTTGCGTGACGTGTGTGTCCAGTGCGAGGGAAAAAATAAAAATTGTTAGGTATCCTATGCCTATCAAACACATATATATTAGGGTTAATTGGATCCATGCCATTATAAATTTACCCATTTTGAAATATACCATTACAATTCATTGAATTAGAACTGAGTCGAGTTTGATTAATGAACTTTTAGAGTTAATATGTTCATGGACATTGGATATATATCTTCTGTGGACTAACCCCTGCAGGAAGGTTTTCAAATTCATGGGTGAGTCCTCAAGTTCAATTCACACTGAAGGTAAGTCAGGGCCCAGGAAACTAATCGATAAATTGCAACAAGCAAAGAAGTAACACATCACCTTTCAAGGTGCACAGTAAGTATACTTCTCTTTTGTTATGATCGTGTAATTTTATCTTAAGCCCCGTATGAGTTTTTGCTTACCGAAAATTTGGTGAACAATAAAAATTTTGAAAAAAAATGTTTTCAAGAAAAAAAAGGAAGAAGAAATGTCTCTAAAAAAAATGACAAAATAAAATTATGGCAAATTTGAGGGATCCACGCTTCTTAAGTTTTGAATCCAATTCCATTTTAGCGCGGAAGTGAACAATTAATCTTGAGGCTATGATAAAATCTTTCCAATTCTTTGTAGTCCCTCTGATATTTGTTGTCCACTTAACTTTTGCACGGAATAAAATGACAACCAAGGAGCAGTGTACAATAACTCCAGTACCAATTCCACGTTCCAAGCTGAACAAATGTGAAGCTTGTTGCATTCAATTCGGTTCTAGGCTTGGCAAGACTTATCTGGTAACAATCCGAAACACCTTGTGCATCCTTGCCTCATATCTCCACCCTGTTAAAAGTTACCCATCACCTCAATAATAATTTAAAAAACAAAATAAAATAAATTTAGGCACTTCATGCGCCTAGAGTTACTTGAATAAAATATGTCTCACCGGCATTTCACCTCGGTGGAAGCCATTTTGCTTTCTATGTTTTTGTTGAATAAAGACCAGGTACGAAATAAGTGTGGGGGAGACCCTTCGGACCCCTGACGTGCAAATTCAGAAAATGATATCAAAATATTGAGATTCTGAACATTTCTGAACACTGCAAGAAAATCCAGATGGTTTGGGCGTCAGAGTTGTTCGGCCGAACCCATCCTGATCCCAACCCCTGCCATTTTCTGCAGGCAAGCAGGTATGCATGTCCACTTCCTCACTCTCTCCCCTGTTGATGCAGTACATGAGCAGAAATTAACTAAAATATGTTCAAGCTTAATGAGAAGATAAAAATTCCAACTAAATAAAATTTTCCTATGATTAATCTTGTACACATTTTATTCTTGACTAGACTTGTTACTTGTGAACAACTATCTATGTTAGGGAACCTTATGCATCTAGGTGATTGATATTCGAGATATAGTTGAGATGAAGGAAATTCTTGTGTTCTATCTCATGACAACTGGGGATTTGTTTTTAAAATCAAAATTTCATTTGGAAGCTTACTCCTCATATGACTTCATTTCTACCTACCAATGCTATACACCAATTTATTAATGATGAACCTTATACATGTGTATGACTGTCTGTCATTATACTGAGCTTTACCAAATTATTGTAACTCGTGTTAGATGTCTCTCATGCTTTCTCGATCAAGGTTGCACAACCACTATATCATTCATATAAAATGCTAAGCTTCTGCATTGGAATTTGGCATCATTACATCCATTTACATTATCACTGGAAAAAAAAGAGAGAATAAAGGAAATGGCCATGCCCCCTCTACAATTATAAAGGAGAAATTGGAGAAGAAGGTATAAACAAAGGAGAAGCATTTTCTTTATTTTTCATTCTTTCCACATACCATACGCTTTCCACCCAAAAATGTGCAATCCTTGATCCGAGAGTATGCTCGACTATCTTCTTGAGTCCATGTATTTGGTTTTGCAATATATATGATGCAGGTATGTCCCGAATTATCCCTACCAAACTCCACATATACAGCTAGGGAATAATTTTTGCGACATATGCCTTGGTGAGGATCCACAGACATTGCAAAATACTTGAGTGATCGAGGGTAAGTCATTATGAAGAGAAAAGGCTGATTTGCAAAAATTTATAAAACCCCAAAAGTATGATATGGAGTATGAGAAGGACCGGATTCACGACTGTTCCAATTATCAATCGCTCAAGATGGTAAGATAGCCACCACTGAAGTTCACAGATACAAGAATAGTTTTGAATAATTTATGTGCTTGTACTATATCTTGGAGAATTTTATTCTGAACTTTAACTCTAACCTTTACTCGGGACAAGTAAAGAGGTAAGTGTTGGTATTTGATACGGTTACAGATAAAATCCGCAAGCGCACGGATATACTGATATAGCACTTCCCCTACGGAGTATTCCAAGGGTATCGAATCTAAGGGAACGTGTGTGATCAGAGCTTCCTCCGGTTCATCCAAGGGCACCAAGCAAATGATAGGCCGGGATAGAGAGGATTTACTAGTGAGAAACAGTGTCTAGGGAAAGCTTAATTTTAATCCTAACACAATACTTTAGGCACTGGCAACCCGCTGTTCCCAGATGTCGCTCTACTACGTACCCGGACAGGGAGGACTTAAGTGCTCTCGAGGGCTATCACCACCTCTACACACACCTCAACATACTGTGGGATACGCAGCAATTACTGGATAATAATTACCTAAACACCACGTCTAAGCAATTAATATCTACTTTAGTGTTTATAACTCACCAAACTAATCACTATATTTTAGTTGATTATAGCGAACAATAATCCTGTATGCTAATTTGGAACTAATCAAGAGGTAATTCTCACAAGATAAATCTAAATTACTCAAGAAGAATATTATATTGAATTCAGAGTAATAAACAGAATAAAAGAAATAGGAGAAGATTACCAACAACTCCGGAATTCTTCCGACTCCTTCTACTCTACTCTCTTCCTATTCTAGTATACAATATAGTACAATAGAGCCTCTTATAATTCAGCTCAAGCTTGGAAGTGTGTGTATGAAGTGAGGAGGTGAAGCCTTTATATAGAGGTAGGTATAACGGTTGGCGAAGGGGAAATGTCCAAACTACCCCGCAACCGTCATTGGGAGAGCATCTGGAGCGTCCACGCCAAACCCCAGGATCAACGGTGATCAGGGGGGTTCGGCCGAACACAACCAAGGGGTTCGGCCGAACATGGGCTGGGCCCTCCTGGCCTGGCCTTCAGTCGGTGGACTCCCTGGGCTCTCCTTTGTCCATTTCTCAGAGTTTTGGGTTGATTCACTGATGTTTTGATGAAGTTCACAACCCCTCCTTGTATGGATGCATAATTCTTCTCACTTTAGTCTGATTTTCCTCCCAACACCGGGGTTTGTCATCTGCATACAAATATACACTAACACTTGTGGAATACATGAGATTAAGCACCTGTCACTATGTTGGATGTTTTATTATCTGACCTTTATGTAGATGTTGGCGGTATAGAATCAACATTTAACAGCCGCCAACACTAAGTGTGGGGGGTTTGTTGGCAGCTATTAGATGCAAATTCTATGCCGCCAATACCTGCATAAATCAAGAAAATAAAATATCCAACATAGTGATAGGGTTTAATTCTAACATATTCCACAAGTGTTGGTATATATTTGAATGCATGTGATAGACCGCCGAAGTTGGATGAAATATAGACTTAAAGTGAAGGTAAATTCCTATCCATATCACGAGCGGGCCAAGAACTACATTGAACATCATCAAATGGGCCATCTGCTCGAAGGAATGGATAAGGCAGGCTAAGGAGGGGAACCAGACCAAGCCTGAAGGCCGCCTGGCCCAGCCAGGTTCGGCTAAACCTTGGTGATCACCGTCCGATTCAGGGTTTGGCAGGGACGGTATGGATGAGCTCCTGAATGGCGGTTGGAGGGCAGAATGGATTTTTCACGTTTTATAACCGTCATACCTGTCCTATGAATAGAGTTCTTCACTTCACTTCTCACACGCACTCTAAGCTTGAGCTGAATTATAAGATGATCTATTGTACTTTATTGTATACTAGATTAGAGAGAGAGTAGAGTAGAAGAAGTCAGAGGAGTTCCGGAGTTGTCGGTAATCCTCTTCTTATTTCTTTCACTCTGTTAATTACTCTGATTATAATAGAAGTATCTTTTGAGTAATTTAGTTTTACCTGTGAGAATTATATCTTGGTTAGTTCCTAATCAGCATGTAGGATTATCGTTCACTATAATCCAGTAAAATATAGTGATTGCTTTAGTGCGTAGCTAACATTAAAGTAAGTTATTAATTGCTTAGACGCGGTGTCTAGGTAGATGATTTCCAGTGTTTGCTCCGCATACCACAGTAGGTGTGAGATGGGTGTAGAGGTGGTGACAGCCCTCGAGATCACTTAAGTCCTCCCTGTCCGGGTGTGTAGTTGTCGACATTTGATATCGCGAGTACGGTATTTGCGTAGTATGGGGATCGTTGGTACCAGGATATATGCGAGATTGAAGTAAAAGAGACGAAGACAAGGATTTTTATACAGGTTCAGGCCCCTTATCTGACAGGTAATAGCTCTACGTCCTGTTGGCCGGAGCCGGTGTTGCTCCTTTATTCATCTGAATCACACAAATACAATATTTGGGATAACCTATCTAGCTATCGTCGTCTTGGCGGCTAGATAACCAACTCGTAGTCGACGACAGGATAGTATTCCTCCTTGAATCCGTAATCGGCGAGATCAGAGATGGTGCTAGATCCCTCTTGCCAGCTTCCGTAAGCACCGGATTGGGTTTGTCTAGGTTAATATCTGATGTCGATATTTGGCGGCGTATTGGCTTGTGTATTGTGGGTTTATGGCTTGTCCCCTTTCCTCCTAGGGGCTTGTATTTATGCCCATAGATGCTCCCTTGTCTAAGTAGAACTAAGGAGATAAATATGGATACATCCGAATAGTTCTTGTCGTTTTCATATAGAACTCTATTTGTACTTCCTTATCCGGAACTTCTTCTATATGACATGGTATGTGGTGGGCCTCGCGGAGCTTAGTTAATTACTATTGGGTATGTGATATCCATAACCCTAACAGTAGTAGAACTATATCTAGGAGCAGTGAGCTGGAAAGTGCCCAAAGTATCACATTAGGATTAAAGTTAAGTTTTCCGTAAACACTATTTCTCACCGGTGAATCATCTCTATTCTTTGCATAACCTTAGCTTCGTATCTTGGACGAACCTGATAAAGAGCCGACACACACGTTTCCTATGAAAACCGATACCTGAGAATACTCTCGGGTGAAGTGCTACATCGGTATTTTCCGTACGCTTGTGTAAGGTTAAGAAATAACAAGAACGTGCCCGGCCCTGATGCTGTACGCGCCAGCGGCCGCAGCTCGGTTTTCATCTTGGATGGGTTTTCCTGTGTTGTCCACGACGTCGGCGGTTGTCACGAACGCCGACCGGATCGCGGCGGGCGACCAGTGGGGGTGAAGAGTCCTGAAGAGCGCCACGAGCCCGCTCACGTGGGGCGTGGCCATCGAGGTCCCCGACATGAAGTCGAACGGCGTGTACGGGTGCGCGTCCGGTACTCCAGCGAAGATGTTGACTCCTGGCGCCATGATGTCCAGCTTCAGGATGCCTGGGCTGCGCTTGCTCGGACCCCGGCCCGAGAAGCCAGCGACGATGGGCGCTGGAATCGACGACCCCAGAACTGTATCGCCGAGTTCGAGGGCCTCATCACCGCGGGCGAGGACGCATAGCCCTTGAGCCTCTCGCGCTCGTCGTAGGAGACTTGGACGATAGGACGAGCAGGCCCGTAATCGTACAAGTCGAATGCGTAGCCGGGCTGCTGTATTGATACAGCGGCTGCGGCCTTGTACTTGGTCACCGCTTCTGCGATGGGATTACCACCCCTAGGCGTGCTCTTCAAGGCCTCAAAGATGACCATCTTGTCGCGAAAATGCGCCTGCTTTTCCACTTCCGGGACAGGCAGTAGCGGCACTCCCCATCCTCTCCGTAGAGGACACCTGGGTCCTCTTCCTGTTGGCCATGTATTGGCCCAAGATGGGGTTGCCGCCGGTCGTTGACTGCAGCTTGGCCTCCAACGAGCGGTCGACCGTGCCGGCGCCCACGGTGAACATCCAGGGCACGTCGTTCTCCACGGTGGAGGCGCCGGGGCCTTGGTTGCCGGCACACACCACGAACGGAATACTTCTCCATGGCGCTGTAGGCGGCGATGGCGACCACGTCGCGGTCGTAGGTCGTCTTGACTTCTTGGCTGATAGAGAAGGAGATGACGTCGACGTCGTCATGGACGGCCCTCGTCCATGGCGTGGATTACTGCGTCGTCCGAGCAGGCACGGTAGTCGCCAACAAGTGACGTGGTGAGGTGGACATGTAAACAAGATGTACTTATTGATTCATGTGCTCCCTGTTTAGATCTGAATATAGATAACATGTACTGCAACTATTAGCTGAATAATTCTTAGGGTTGAACCTTTTGGTTGTGTTTTTGTTTCAGGTTTCTAGAAACGTATCTCCCAGGTACTGAACTTACTCTTCCACTCAGGTACAAGGAATTTCCAGGCCCAACACTGCCCCTGCTCGCGCCTTGGGACCAAGGGTCCGGCCCTCCATGCAGTTCACTGGAAGCTCCTCGCTTCCTGAGCAGCAGAGCAGGTGTACGGGACAAGGTGGAGGCCCGGAGAATTTCACGAGCCGAAGAAATCCACGAGCCACTGGTGCAAGGGGTGGGAGAGGAGGTTCCCCTATCTCACTCAGATCTAAATAGGAATGCCGAATGGCCTTGTAAGTTATTGTGAGTGTTGGGTCAACAGTTCATTCTCATGACCTTTATGAAGTGTGATATTGATTTTGGTTTAACAGTTCATTCAGGTCTTTTTAGCTGTCATATCTCTTATGCATAAACCATGGTTTTAGGGTGTTTAGTACATCTTTAGATGCTCTGTGATGTTTGTGAAAAGCTTCTATATGAGTGCTTTTAAGAGGAGAGACTCAATAGAGTTGTTTTAATACAATTATTATGTTTTAATCATATGCTATTCTTCATAAACCATGTTATTAGGGTGTATAACTGTCTGGTACATCTTAGATGCTCTGTGATATTTGTGAGAAGCTGCTATATGAGTGCTTTTATGAGAGGCTCAATAGAGTTGTTTCAATACAGTTATGTTATGAGCTCATATATGCTATTCTGCATATCAACTAATTAATGTTTTCTTGCCTGCCTATGAGTTAAATCTAATTTGTGTAAGGAATAATCAATGTATAAACTGAGTGCACATTTTTTTCAGAAGATTAGCTTTCTCTTGTTCCTACAAATTATTAGTACTCTTTTTCAGTTATGCAGGATCATAACCTGCCACTTTTTTTCAGTGATAGGATTGCGATTCAAACATATAAATTATTTATTTAGTTCATCTTTTTCAGTAAAGAAGGTTTCCATAGTAGTGTTCAGCCCCACATCCTCAGGACCCCTTCGCGTCTAATCCTGATCCTGACGCGCAGGAGACGCTGAGGCCTGGCGTTCTCCTTGCCCTTGACACACTCAGGAGGTTTGTGCTCGAGTCGATCAACTCCCTCGCGCCTGCACTCATTCTGGGCGGAGTGCTGCCGCCGCAGCATTGGCTGGGCCTGGGTAGGCGCTGGCCGCCCCAGGATCCTCCTCGCCTCCAGGTACATTGCAATATGCTCACCTCCAACCCTGGTCTACTTTATTTGCTTCTAGATCTGGTGGTCTCGTATGATGTGACCATATGTGTTCATTACGGCTGCCTGCTAAGTCTCAATTAGAGATTGTCAGATTGCTAATTGTTTAGTGTAATGCTAGATAAATCGATTTCGGGATTTTCAGTGTACTGCTACTGATTGTCAGATTGATAATTGTGCTTCATTTCCATGGGGGTTGTTAGTCCATATTGTAGTAAGTACCAATCCTTAGCCTAACATGAATTTCTAGAAATTAGATAACATTATTTTATGTAATCATGTCCACTTTATCTATTAATATTTAATAATCATGCCATAATTTATTTTCAAAATTTCAGTTACCTTGACCGCAAGGAGGATCATTGGTACCCTGGGTTGATGGTGGTCCTGCGATGTGGATGACACAAACAAGCTGAAGGTCTCCATTTTGTGCCACCACACAATCAGTTTCCAGTTTCAAGGATGCCGCTAATATCACCGGTGGAGAAACCCTTCGTAAGTCCCGGTTTGTACCCCTTTAGTCCCGGTTTCCAAACCGGGAGTACCAACCCGGGACTAAAGATCGCTATCTTTAGTCCCGGGTGAAATAACCGGGACTAAAAATCGATCTTTAGTCCCGGTTGATAACACCAACCGGAACTAAAGATCGAGTTGACCTTTTTTTTTCATGGCCCTGTTGCTGCATGGTTTATATATATGTTTCAATACATATATATGCATACATATATATATATATAATATTATATATATGTATGTATATATGGTTCAGTACATATGTACATGCATAATATATATATATTTATACATATATATGTTATGCAAATGCGTGTGTGTGTGTGTATATATATATATATATGACCAAAATATATTTACATTATAGCAAATGTGTACACATGCATATAGAAACATATGTAGTCATGTATTAATTACAATCCATTATATGTCCTAGCTAGCTACGATTTCGACGTATTAGTAGTACTCGCTGCTAGCTCAGAAGCTAAGGACCGGTGAATTGTGTTTCCGTCGTAGTAGAATTCACCCTTGGGATCAAGGATTTCTTCGTTGATGAATCCCATGAGTTGTTCTTGAACCGCCGCGATAAATTCCTTATGTGTGATCAGGTTATCCCTCATGCGAATAAACTATATGAATGTATGAAATTGATTAGTAATTAAACAAGAAATCGTTACGTAATGAAATTTTGAATTTATTTGTACATACATCGAGCTCTCTTGTGGTGATGATTTGGTCTGCAAGGCAGTGGCAATACTCGCACACGTAATAGCCGCACAAGTTAGTTCCCTGCTTTTGCTTTGCGCACTACAAATAAATGACAAACAACGAGAGATATAATTAATATACACTTGTATGTATTTGAATCGGAGAAATATAAATGTAGAGCATGTATACTCACAGGAAATTTGAACTTCCGCCTAAGTCTTTCTCTCCATTTGCCGCGGACCAAATGACGGAACCGATACCAAGCCCTACATGGAGTTTAAAGCTATGATTCGTAGTAGCAATTAACATAACAAGATTTTCTTAATTAACAGAGGAACTTATGACGGTACCTGTCTATAAGTTCGAAAACCTTGTCAAACGTAGACTCTTTTTTATCCATTGAGTCATATACGTTGACGGTGCAGGCTGACAGGTCGAAGAGTAAAAGCACCCAGTGGAATCTGCAATGTGCGTGGGATGCATTATATATGAAACACTTAGCAAGTTCGTACGGGAATGAAATTTGGTATGTAGGAAGACAGTAAAATTAAACTAACTCTGTGTTGTACGGCAATAGTATGAACGTCTTGTAATGCTGCGCCTTCAGGAGATGGACGAGATTGTCCTCTGTTTCTTGTGGATATTGGTCGAGCATTGCGACGTTTACTCTCCGAGGGTCGATGAATCCAGTATCGAAAACCCTCCGCCGTCGGGCCCTTTGAATCTCCATTCTACAACGATAAAAGGGAGTATATTATTTTCTATAGTCTACTTATATACAAGGACCTAATTAATTAAAGGAGACGTATAGTAAGAAATCTAACTGAACGATATACTTACAAAATCCAGCAACTCATAATAGAGACGTCGAGGGCGTCCAGCTGGTATAGTTCGTAGATTCCCTTGAAATTGATCCAGAGAATCTCATCTCCTTGCAAGAAGTCCGTGTCCCTGATCCTCGCTCCGATCATCTTTCTACCGGTGGCGCTCATCTCCATGTACAGCTGATGGAACTTATACATTTGTGTGGGTAGGGACTGCAGTAGCTCAGGCTTGACAAGCGGTTTACCGAGTTCGTACATGTATTTCACTTCCGCCTTTTCGATTGGTGCGACTCCTAGCAATTGATCCGTAGTTAGACCGGTGTCAGTAATAAATTGTTCTATCGTCATTTCTTTACCGGTCACCAACGGCTCGATCTCCTGGTTTGGTTGCTCTCCAAGCTGAGGGACTGGTTTGGACTTTCCAGAAGATGCTTTCTTCAGCGTTCGCTCATAGTCTGATAGCTTGATGGCTTCCTTGACAGATGCAGACATACCCCTGAAGAAGTTCCTGACACTGGGGTCTATAGGAATCTACTTTTCTAGACTTCGAGGCTTGAATTGTCTCTTGACTTCTGATGCAACGTAAGCGTCAAGCTCCTCTTGCGTGCAATCGTACCCCGGGTCCTTGTTCTTGGCGGCGTCAACTTTCACCTTCTTCGTTGCCCTTGTGTGGGCAGGCGGTGGAGCTGGGGGGGCCCTTGACTTTGAAGGTGCCGGAAGAGGAACTTGTGGAGGAGTAGGTGTAGGAGCCCGAGGAGGAGTCGGTGCAGGATCCTAAGGAGGAGTCGGTGCTGGAGCCTGAGGTGGAGACAGTGCTGGCGGAGCATGAGGAGGAGACGGTGCAGGATCCTGAGGAGGAGATGGCGGAGCCGGAGGAGATGGTGCACGAGACGCCGCTTGTCGCCCAGGGAGGATGATGTACCGCCTGCGCCATAGAATAATGGCATGGCTTGTGTCTCGTAGATGCGTCTCACCGTCTCCTCCAGGGTAATCCAGCTCGAGGTCCTCGTACGCGCCTTCGACCAACTCAACTTCGACCTTCGAGTATCCTGCTGGAATCGGCCTGCAGTGGTAAGTACCTGAAGGGTCCGTTGGGATGGCCATGCCCGACGCCACCTTTATGTTGTGAGAGATTATTTATTAGTAATCAACATATATAAGCAGCAACTAGCGGAATGGCTAAATCTAAAATATATAAACTACGAGCTTACCTTTATTGATAAGTTCTTGTAAGGAATATATAGCTCACATGGTGTCCGCTGAGTGATGTCATCAACGGGACAGGTCGATTCGTCCTGTGTTTGCATGGCGTCCATGCTCTGTGATCCTATCTGCCCCGTTGAGGCGCAGCTGCTACGGTTTCCTGACGGGCTCACTATTGCAGGAGGAATGGTCGGCTGGGGATCATGGGACCGATGTGCGGCCATGCGTTCGTCAACCTTCCTTGCCACCTCCTCTTGCATGCTGAGTTCGTAGCTCGATACCCGGAACTCTAGATCTGCAATCTTCGCCTCGATATCTCTCTTACTCCTTATCCG